TATTTTTATTATATTTTTATCATATAATAGTTATATAACTATCATATGATAATCATAAATGGCAAAAATTCAAGTTTTTGCTAAGTAGTTAAGGTTGTATTAGTTTGAATAGAAATTAAACATGATTTTATGTACTATTTATTCCCCGCGATAGCAGGGAATAATGAAATATTTCCCCAATCTATTGCATGGATTGGTGAGAAATATTGAAATTATTCTCCTGATGCGGTGAATAAATAAGTTATTCTTTGTTTTATATGTTCATTACTATATTATTTTCAATTTTATCAATCACTGCTTTTATCACATAATCATTTGTTTTTGAATTAATAAAATAAACTTTTTATTACATAAGAGATAAATACTATAAATACAATTTTTTTCAAAATTTGCGAATTTTTTTGATTTCTTTCCTTAATTCGATTTATTTCTGAAAATGGAAAATAAGAAGGTTTATTTCAAATATTTATAATAAAAAAATGAAAAGAAAAAGAGAATTATTTAAACTTATAGGATATTGGTGTGCACTTTATTATAGCTAAAAAAAATGTTCAAATTCAAATATAATCAACCTAGTTTTGTCGAGTCTAATATAAAACTTGATTATATATTCAAAAGGCCTAGTAATACAAGTTCATTTTATAATGAAAGTAATAATATGGATGAGGCTTTTCAAGAAAGTATAGATAAGATTTCTCAAGAAAGTGCAGATAAGGCTTCACAAGAAAGTATAGATGAGACTTATAGTAAAAATATAAATAAGGTATACATATTAGATTCGAATATTTTTTTTTATATCTTAATTATTTTTTTACATCATTTATTATTAATTTATTACAGACTAGATTCACAGTACTATCACAAAATGATATTAATTATATTATTGATTACTCAGAAGTTATTAATACTAAAAACAATACCAAGACTTGGATTAATGCTATGAATAAATATTTAAATGACACAAACCTTTCAGATAATATTACAAAAATTGAGGATCAAACTGAATTAGAATCAGTTTTTATTAGCTTTTTTGTTGCACTAAAAAAGAAGGATAGTCAACTTTATGCACCTACGTCTATACATAATTGTTATTGTGCACTTGCCTGTTATCTTCAAAGAAATTCATATCAAAATCCAAAACCAAACATATATGATAAGAATACTTTTTCTAGATTATATGCAACTATAGATGGAAATATAAAACTTGTTTAAGATAAACATCCACGCCAAACCAAAAATTCTGATATACTAAGTTATGATGATATTACTAAAATCTTAAATCATGAAAAATTACTTGAGGATACACCAACTGCAATTACATATCGGGTATATTTCTGGTTATGTCTTTTATGTGGTTTGCGTAGAGATAATACATGCCGATTAAATATAATCATATGAAATCAACTCATGGAAAAACAATTCAATTAACTATACCCCGAGAAAAAAATCATGCTGGAGGTTTAAAAAACTTAACTAATGCTAGTAGAAATTGTGAAATTCCGCCTGATATGAATGGTAAATTCACACCTGTAGCTGATATTTTATATTACATGTATTGTCGTGAACAAAATTTCAAATCAAAGGATTTTTTTTTAAAAATTGCGCCTAACAAAGGTAATATGTGTATTTTGTAATATTAAGTTTTAACAAGTTTTTTGTTAGTAATTTTTATTTTTTTTAGATTTTAAACGTGGATTTGGTTTCATGATATGCTATTAGAACGTCATTCACATGAAAAAATGATTCACAATATATGTGTTGTTACAGGAATTGATACCAACTTAAAAAAAATTACAAATCATTCCTTAAGGTGAACATCAATACAAATTTTTACACAATTAAATGTGGCTACTGACTGTATCATGGCTTTTAGTGAGCATCGATCCCCTGGTAGTGTTGCATCATATCAAACTTTTACTTATGAAATTATGCATAATACAGTCTCTATGATAATTCCATCGGCAGAACAAGATCAAAATAAAAATATTACTACTTATGGTGTTCATTATAGCGGTAGGACCACAAACGGTTATTCTACGGGCAAAAGTCACTTCACACACCTTGGCCCTTTCGATAGCTTCTTGTAAGGTATTGGGCATGAAAGGCTCTACTGCTAATGATAGTTCTGGGCAGAGCCCTTGTAAAAATATTTGTGCCTTCATTATCTCAGGTTATTGGTTTCCGACCCTGGTCACTCGATTAAATAATGAAAGCACATCCGCCGCATATTGGTCTACCGTTTCCCCCAATCGTTGGTGTCGATTCAACAACTCCGTGTTTCACTAATTGATTAGGGCTTGGGTACAAAAGTTCCGGCAAAATTGGTGTACAAAGCTCTGGTTAACCAAACGTTCATTATCCCAATATTGAATCTCATTCTTGTTTTGCTCCCACCACAATGCTGTAAGACCCGACAGGTGTACCCCAACCACTGCAAGTCGCCTTGCCTCTAAAATATTATTTGCTTCAAAGGCTCGGGCCACTAACTCCAACCATTCGACGGGATCTTGATTTCCCCTGCTGAAAACTGGGATCTTTACCACGTTTCGTTCCATCCCTTCAGCCTGGAGTTCCCATGGTCTTGCCAAAGCATTGGCTATGACTTGTAATAAATGCAGCACTTGTTGGTTTGGGTCATTTTGTTGAGGAGCATTTGGTGGATTAAGATTAGCAGAAGTTCTTTGTACCGAGGGGGATTAGCATCCCTGGGTGGATTATTGCCTGGTTCCACTACATTTCCTAAGTGCTCCTCTTCTGGGTGATCATCATTATTATTAAAAGCGTTTCTCCACATGTTTGTTAGCAGGTTTGGTCCTTTATCTTTGAATTGTTAATCGTAAAACTCTTCTTTTTTTTTTTTTTTAATTAATTAACCTTTTATTATTTTTTCTGACACCAGGCGTATGTCCACACAACTGGCACCAAATATGTTGTAACCTGGGAAGAGACTTTAACCATTGATTATAAGATTAGCTCACGATTACTAACATAAACTCGATGAGATGGCTACTAAGGAGTGTTAAACGAGTTGAATGTCCCTATCTTATGATTTCTTACAACCACAGTTTGTTTTTATATATGTATGTAAGTTTATATATACAATTGTATTTAAGGTTGTTGATTGATCCAGGATTAAGATGGTCGAATTTTTAATAATAAGTTTCAGATCGTCACTATGCTAAGATTGGGTATAACAGATTTTTAAGGTTAGATCGAAGCTATTGTTTCTTTCTAATAATTAGATAAGAATTACGTGGTTATGGAATTTATTTATTTTTGAACCAGAGCAGAAAAACGTAATTGTTCTTTATTAGTTTTAGCACTGTATTTATACATTTTTAAATCCTGGGGGTCCGAGACCCAGATCTGGGGTTTCAGACCCTTATCGAGGGTTTCAGACCCATATCAAGGGTTTCAAACCCTTATCCATGGTCTCAGACTGCCACACAGGGTTCAAGACCCTGTTCTGTAGTTCAAGACCCTTGTATACTTATATTGTTTATACAAAAAGAAATGCAACTATACAATTGTTTGAAAAGGGACATTATCTAGCACATATTAGACTAAAGAAGAAATTATACTAATTATTCTCGTAACAACACGTATAATTTCACGTGATTTGCACGTTGTAAAAGGGTAGAACATGACTTGGAATGAATTTTTTCACACATAGTAGATCAGATGCATATTAGGTTTAGAAGCTATATACAATTTGTACATAGAAACCATGTACATTTTGTACATAGGGCGTTAGGATGTCAAATGCATATCTAATTACAAACATAGTGCAGGTGCATAGTGAAAATCATAAATCGAATTTTTTTATAATTAAAATTTTTAAGATCTGCACGCAATAGTAAAAACCATAGAGAAGTTCCATCTTTCGCCTTTAATTCCTTCCATAATATTTATTCTTTTTTAAATCTATAAACACAAAATATTTAATTAAAGGTGTCTTTACACAGTGACAGCGTCAGAATTTTGATTTTCTAATTAATTAGTCTTTTTTTCATGGGTATGTACATATGAAAAATTGCTATAAATTTTAGTCATATAATAGATTTATTTAAGGGTAGGGTCTTTTTATGGTAGGTTACACAATATATATTAATGTTGATCACGGTCCAATATTCGTTAAAATCGTTAAAATCATTAAAATTCTTACTTAGTAATAAGAAAAACAACCAAAAGTATGTAAGAAAACATACGTGTTATATTAAATAACTTACTCTACGTTTTAAAGTTATTTTAGTGCCAATTAGTTAGTACCTTTTACAAGTTTGCTTATATATTAGTATACGAATAACTTGCTAATTCTCAATACCTGATGCTAATTATTGTTTAATTTTGTAGTATCGTTCAAATCAACAGTTTTAACCGATTTTTTATAAAATACTATATGTGTTTAATATGGTATGAATAAAAAATTAAGAAATTTATTCAGAAAATTTTGTAATTTGTTTTAAAAATTATTGTATTATATATTATTAGTATCTAAAAATAGAATCAGTTGTTCATTTAATGTCTAATTATTAGGTTAATTGCGAATAGATTCAAAGACTTTTAGAGCTTAACAGTGATCGAATAAAATATAAACAACAAACAAAAAATTTGTTTGTTAGTGAACAATCACAATATCTTCAATTATTGCCACAACATGCAACGCTTCCTAATAACTATGATAAAACAAATAAACAATCGAGTTTATATCAATTATTAACAGTTAATGGTATCGAACCTGATGTAAATAAAAAAGTTTATATACCTTTAATTCCTGGTTATACAATATATACATATTATGATGTTTATTTAAAAATTAGTCTTGAATGGAACGAAGTTCAACAAATGATTTTTTATAAATGGATAGATTATGGGGATAATTGGAAATTTATAACCGAACAAAAATCTCAATCTTTACCAGATAATTTAAACAGTTTGCGAAATCATTTACAATCAGCTCCAATTAAATATAAAGGTGCATTATCAATGACATGTGTTCTTGAATTTAATTGTAAAGAAAACGTAGAATGGCTTCAGGGATATGTTAATAATACATATTCAAACTTATTTGAACATGCTAAAAAATTATTTAATGCAGAAAAAAAAACGTATTACAATGATTAATTCAGCTAAAAATAAGGCACGTAAACTAGAAAGTAGTGAAGACATCCAAGCTGGGCTTCCAATAAAAGCTGAAGGCTGGAATACTTCTAGTTCAGTTACTCAAGCATTAGAAATTCAACTTCAAGAAGTACGCAATGAATTAAAAAATACTAAAAAAAAATTACATCGATCATTAGAAACTATTCAGAAACTAAATGCAGAGTTATGTTCTAATTTAGATTCTGAAAGGTAAATTATATAATTATTATACATAAAGTATATTGAATACTACATATAAAAACTCAATAATTTTATATAGTGAAGGAACTATCAGCGATGAAAATAACGAAAATTCTAATCTTTCTTCTACTAATACAATTCAATTAATGGTTAACAACTTAATTAAAAATGGAAAATTAGGATCAACAATATTCGTAAATACAGACATATATTTAACATTAATACTAAACCAACCATGTCCTATTTGTTATACTGCTGAAATTACTAATAAAAAGCTCTCGATAACAGTAAATGGATTAGGAATTAAAATTATAATTAAATATCTAAATTGTAAAGCAACAACGAAACATAGTAATGAATCACCTGAAATGGATTTTTCAACAAGTATAGCTGCAGCAGGATTAGTTGGTGGTGTAAATCGTGAAGAATGACGATCTATGCTTGCATTAGTTGGAATTACACGACAAAGTAGTAAATCACAATACTTTGCTAAGCAAGATAAACTATTTGATGGCTTTAAAAATGAAGCAGTTAATTCAGCTCAAAAAGCATTACATAAAGTTCTTGATAAATTAATTGAAAACAAACAATTTAATTTAGAAGTTAGTTTTGATTGCCAATGGAGTCATGTTTGTGAAGCACCAGCAGCTAGTGGTGAATTTATATATAACGGATTTTTAAATGGTAATTAAGTATAAAATATATAGTAAATTAAAATAAATAACTAAAATAATTTTTACTTACTATTAGAAAATGATCATAAACCTATTATTGGTTTTCATGTTGCAGAAAAATCTAGAAAATATCAAAAAACTGATAGACAAGTTGTTACGATTAATGAAGGCAACCATAATGGTAGTTCTAGTACTATGGAACATTCAATATTAATTACCATTATTGAACAAATATCACCAGTACTCGAAACTTCAGAAATTGTTTTAGATGTCAGTATTGATGGAGATTTAAATAGTAATAAAACACTTGGCGCTCAAAAAATTGTTCATAAAATTTGTGCCAATTTAAAGCATAAAGCAAAAAATGTTAGAGCAAAAATAGGTAATAATTTTTTTAATTTATAGAAATTATACGTATAATAAATAAATTTATATATAAATATCTTTTATAAAAATTAGCTAAAAATAATAAATGGAAATATCTTGAATCACCAATTATGAAATATTATGTTCAATGTGTATATGCAGCAACTGCACGTGCTAATGATCCTAATTTACCAACTCCAACCGAACAAGATCTGTTTAAAATGCAAACTGAAGGCGTAATAGCACATTTGCAAAATAATCATGATGATTGTTGGAATGAAGTTTGTTGGTTTACAGAAAATCCTGATATGATACTTCCTGAACCAAATTTAATACTATATACTAAAAGTCAATGTGAAGCTTTGTTAAAAGACTTAAAACAATATATGAAATTAACAGGACAAGGATTAATAACTACAATTCGAACAAGTGCAAATGAAGCAGTAAATCGTATTAAATTAAATTATACAGATAAAAAAACTGATTACCCCAAATCTTTTTCTGCTAGACATGCTCTTGCAGTTCTTCATAATAATGATGGACTTTTAACTTTGTTAGAAACCATTCGAAAGGTGGCTAAATTACCTGAATTTTTTGAACAAGACATAGTTAATATTATAAAAATATGGAAAAACAGAAATGATAAACGTCAATTAAATATTCATACAATAAACGAACGAAATAAATCTAGATCAAACAAATTTGAAGAACAAAAAAAATGGTTAGAAGGATTTGATTATGATAAGGTATGTTTTAAAATTGTTATTTTAATAATTCAATCTTATCTTTAACTTTTATATCGATACAATTAATTGTGATAAATTATTACAATTATTATATTAATAATTAAATATAATAATATCATTATAAAAACTTCTCACAATTAACTTCGATACTATAAAAGTTGGTTATGAAAACCCAATATTTTATTATTCAATTGTAATAAATCTAAGGTTTTAGATTTGAATCCTAATTAATAAAATAATAAATATTAAATTATATTAATTAATTTATATACTAGGATTTGCTTCCTTATAAAATAGGAGTAAATGACGAAATGTTAGAACGAAAATTTCGTCCTACTTTTGCATCATTAATTTGAGATTTTGATATTTTTGTTAAATGCAATGGGTGCTTATCTTTTCCAATAAAATATCCTGTCGGTTTATGTTCTATTTGTGGATTTTGGGCAAAATATGATATGAATATTTATATACCAATTCAACCCGATAATAATATATCCTTGGCCAAATCTTCAGATACAGATATCTTAGAGGCCGCACTTAAAAATATTTTTAATTTGTCAGAATATCGAGAATATCAAAGAGAAAGTATTGAATCTTTTATTAATAGGCATAATATACTTACGATTTTAAAAACTGGAGGTGGAAAAACATTAATATATGCTATTGCATCTCTTTTATTCAAAGGATTAACCGTTGTTTTTACATCACTAAAGTCTTTAATGGATGATCAACTGGCAAGTATATATAACATTATAATTAAAATACACTATAGCATAATTGATATTACTTTAGAATTTATTTGATGTCTACTAAAAAAAAAATTCTAAAACATAACCATTACACTATAATATATTATAATTGACAATGCTTTATATATAAATACAAACCTTAATATTAAATACTCAAATAACATATATAGCATGAATTAATATCTATGGGTATTCCTGCTGCAGCCTTTTATGCTTTGTCTGAACAACCTCCTGAACTACAAGAAAGAATTTTGGAGAATTAGCTTCAGGATTAACAAAAGTATTATTAATTACACCTGAAAAATATATATTGAATATGAAATTTAGAAACATGTTAAAAAAAATCAATTCTTTGAGAGGATTACAATTCGTTATTGACGAAGCACACTGCATTAAAGAATATGAATATTTTAGGTAAATATATATGTTAACTATTAAAAAGTTAACTACTTACAATGGCTGTTAAATTGTTAGAAATTCCTGGACTAAATTAAATGTAGTAAAAAGTGGATTTCCATCTGTTCCGATGCTTTTTTTAACTGCAACATGCACCTTGGATACTGCAGAAAAATTACGTGCTATTATAACACCTTCTGAATTACAAATTATCCGAAGTAACAAAATTTATAGGCCTGATCTTAAACTTGAAATAATTTCAAAACCATGCGGAAAAGAAAAACTAATACAAGCTATTATTTCAGTTATTGATTCTATAACAAATGGTCGAATAATTATTTATTCAGCATCTATTTCTGATTGTATTACAGTTGGTCAATTGCTTATTAAACATTATGGGTCTCAGAATATAGGAATATATCATAGTAGTATGAAAAGTGCAGATCGTGATATAACTTTAAAATTATGGAAAGATAGCGAAATTAGATTTATGTCTGCAACAAATGCTTTTGGAATGGGAATTAATATATCAGACGTAAGGGCTATAATACATACTACATTTCCAATGTCCCTTGATAGCTTTATTCAAGAAATAGGCCGTGCAGGCCGTGATGGTAATGGTGGACGTAATATCATATTTTTTTCTCGAGCTGATCTTCATACTTTGACACTTATTCTCTATGGTGGGCATGAAAGGTATAAGTTTTGACAATTCAAATTATTAACCATAATGTAATTCAATTACTATTTACTATATCTCATATAGTATACAAGAAAACATTGAAATATCTCAAGAATTCGATGAATCATCCAGTTTGACAGAAATGGTAGCTCCCACAAATCAGAAAAAGCATTTAAAAGAAAAAAGAAAACAATTATTAGAAATGGTACATTATTGTGAGAACAAACTTGAATGTAGACAACAACTAGCATACCAAATTTTTACATGGCCCAGAGATCCTTATATTCCGGTGTCATAACTGTGATAATTGTTGCCGACGTGAAGCCATTTCTACTGAATGGCGAAATGTTAGCAATGAGGTAAATTGGATAGTTAGAATCGTAGATCAATTGATAAAAAGAGTTACCAGCCAAGATCCTAAGTTATTACAAATCTCAAGAGATGATATCACCGATTGTTTTATGGGTTCAAAAGGAAAAAATGCAGTTAGTAAAGATCTAAGTTCTATAGAAGGTTATGGAGTCTCATCTGAAAGTTGTTCAATTTTCAACGAAGATTGCTTATATTTGATCGATTCATTGATCTTAGCAGAGATTATTACCGAAGAGGTTGATATCAAGTATTCTAAAGAAGCAAAATCGTTATCATATTTATCTAGTTTGGTAGGTTTAAAGGAGAATGCATTAAATTTTGTATCTACTTTAGAATAGAAATTATTGACGAGGGTAAGTAAAAAGTGTAAAGTTACTTAGAATTATCATATAAATTTTAATAAAGAAAACTGCTTTAAGATTATTGGCTACTATTTTTATCACATTGATGATCTGCAAAATCGATCCATTTATTTGGTTATTACTAATTTGGAAAAAGACCCTACCCTTAAGTTATACAAAGATACAATAACAAAAAAATAACTTCTATTTGATAATCTTCTCCTCAAACCAATTTTTTAGAAGTAATGAAACTTTAACTGTTTTCTCAAGATCACCAATAGCAAGGTTAAGATTAATGGCATTCTTTATAACTGAAAAAGCATGATTACAAGGAATATTCGATGCTTGCAAGGCAAAATAGTCTGCCACAATAGAAGAGACTACTGGAAACTGTTGTGCAGTACTTTTCACCACGAATATGGATCTATTTCTGGTTTGTGTGACAGTGAAAGTTAAGCTTCTAGCTCATCTATTTCCGGTTCACTTTCCTTTTTATTTTCACTCGAATTTATAAGTATTCGAAAAATTTCTAATGGATCTTTAGGCCTAGTAACCATTTTTGAATTATTTGTTTTATATGATAAATATATACCTTTTAACCGAATAATGGCTAATTTACGATCATTTTCATAAAGTATTTCTAACTTAGTCAATGGATCAGGAATGGTTGAAATAGCAGAAGACTTTGAAAGATAAGTCCAGTATTCTTGTAATTTATTTTTCATTTCTTTTGCTGCTTTGCTGTGTGTATTAATCAAAGTATATTGATTAAGATGTGTTGAAAGGCCCAAAATAATTAATTGTGAAGACCTATGGAAGGGTTGCGAAGTACTTGAAAGGACCAAAGCTGCCGCATGAAATGGGTTGAGAAGTAATATCATTTCTTCTATAAGTACCCAATTATCAACTTCTAAATAATCATTTTTTAAACTTGGACAAGATATAATAAAGCTATCAGTAATGAATCAGATTTGATAGAGCCTCTTAACCATCGAATAGGTGAAAGTCTATTTTGTATTAACATCAATTAAAAGATGCTGGAACAGACATTCTAGGATAGCAGAAATTCTTTTTATTTCCTCCAGAACTAAAGGTGAATTTATTTTATTACAAAACTGCTGAACCTTCTGAATTTGATTAAAATATTTTTTTTGACCAGCTTCAGCAATGAGATTAATAGTATGTGCAATGCAGTGCACATACTTAAGGTCGGAATTTATGGTTCTTTGAAGAAAATTTAGACAGATTGGGTTACTTAAATTATTTACTACATTGTCACTTGTAAAGCCAATTATTTGTTTCTTTATTTCCATATCTTTAACGAGCTTAAGAATTTTTTTGCTAATGTATTTTTCTGTATAGGTTTCAGTTAAGAAAATGAAATCGAGAAGGAGAGTTTTCTTTTTCCACTTAGTGTTGACCCAATTGACAGTAACTATGAGAAAGTGTTGTTGTGTAAGTGCTGTCCAAACTTTTAAGGAAAGTGCTAATTTATTTTTATTGTTTTTTAAAGTTTCTTTAATTTTAACTTTTGCTAAGTCAAAATATATTTTTACGTTCGTGAGAAGATTTGGCAGCAAAGAATCTTGTAATATAGATTAAGGTTTGAGACAAATTTTATAAATGACTCCTCTTCAACTATTGAAAATAGTTGTTTGTTAATAACGATCCAATGCATTAAATTGTGATTCAAAAACTCGATATGGTGCGTTTTAATGGCTGAATAAAAAAATTTATTGGTTTGTGAAGAGTTTTTATAGGTTGATGAGACTAGCACGTCCTCTTTGCATTGCTTGCAGAACTTGAAAGCTTTGAGTTTATTATTAAGCTCATTGAGGTATTTATGAACTGATTCAAGTTTTTGTTTTTTTCTTTGGAATTATCAATTTGCTTTTCATTTTCATAGAAGAATTCTTCTGAAGAATCAGTAATTAGGTAAGGTAATATTGACATTATTAAGATTTTGAATGTGATATTGGATATAGGTAAATTAATGAAAAAGAGAAGGAAAATAATTTATCTATATATATATTTTCACGATTTTAAAAATAGGGATTGGACCCTCTAAAAAAATTCTTACCTAATTGCCCAAGTTATCTGGGTAATTTACTATATTATAGCTGTTCTGAACCCAATCTTTATTTTTAAATCATACAATTAAGATTCAATATTGCAGATGTTATTACAATAATATCTGCATGCAAAATTCAAACTTTAAAAATTTTTAATTATTTTAATTATTTAATCATAGTTAATAATAGGTCCATACAGCCAACCTATTCACAGAACTCTTTCCGTTGATCACTTTGTCCAAATTCAGAGCTAAAGAAACTCTGTAAAAAAGTCACTACGGTACTAAACTAACAACTAAATTAGCCTTAGGAAAAAAGATAGAG